GGGGGGGGGGGGGGGGTGTGTGGAAAAAAAAAATCTAATCTTTATATTCCAAGGCACAGATACATTTAGATTTCAAGAATATAAGCATGCCATACCCCCAGGAGGTACTGCCTGGTGGCAGAATGACCAAAACCCCTGAAGGTGGATGCTTAGCTGAGAATGACTAAAAAATGTGCTTATAGCCTTGGGTCCCTCTTTTCAGGTGGAATAACCTTGTTATTGTTATTCTTGTCCTGATTTTTGTTGGACATGTGAAAATGGACTTAACCCCAAACCCTGCATTTTCAGCCTGATACTTTGGCTGTGCTGAAGTATTTTTTCCCCCTGCAGGCAAAGCCAAGCTCTAGTCCCCCACTGGCCCAACCAGTCCTGTTTTAGTGGCCATTTGGGTGTCCTGGGGGCAGGTTTGGTGGTGCTGGTTAGACAATTCTGCAGACTGGCATTAATATGACCCTTCAAATAACCCTCGAAACCCACAGGAATCCAGAATTCATCAGAAAATACAGCTCTTTTGCTAAAAATGCCTAATCAATGCCTATCTCTCTGGTTATCTGCTCCCAGAAGTAACATCTAGCTTTAACCCCATATTAAAGACTGTCCACTGAATTTTAAGAGGGGAAAATTCAAGCTTCAGAGCTCTCTATTTTGATTACTATACACACGGGGCAATTTGAAATATCCACTTGAGAAGCTAATGAAAGACAGAAGGCTTGTTGTGTTTCTGACTTGGCTTAGCACTTGGGGTTTAACATCAGGCACTGGCAGATCGTCTGGAAAATTCGGCATTTGCACAAAGCGCAGTAGTGACAGCAGGAATTCAAGTGTGGCTTGCAGGTTTTGAAGGTTGGTACACAGTTAGCAGCAGGTGGGGGCCTTGGCTTTGGAGATACCTTGCGTTTAGCATTTTTCTGGAAGAAAAAAAATCCATGAGAATTCACAGACAGGTGAAATGAGGGTGGGGAACAGCGGGAGGTTCTGGGGGAATGAGCAGGTGGCTGTGGCAGTGGGAGCTGTGCTAGCAGTGCAGAGGTGTGGTGGGGCTGGGAAATGGGAAAGGGTGGCTTGAGACCAACCTTCTGAGCAAAATGACAAACTTCATTTTGACCATGACTGGATGGAGCTTTGGAAAGGGTCTGTAGGAGAGAGCGTGGCAGCAGCGAAGAAAGGGGTGCTAAAATGTACTCAGGTGGTGAAGTTATCAGTAAAACCAATGAAGGTGTTATGTTTGGATCTCCCAGCTTTTCAGATGAGTGAAAACTCCCTGACATTCTCTTGTTTGCTGAGCTGTGACACTGAGAGAGCAGGGGAGTGACTTGGAAATGCTCCACCTCATGAGCCCAGTGGTCCTCCATCAATGGGAATCCTGAGCTGCACACAGAGTTCAGGGAGTGGAAAAAGACCTCTCATCTCCCCCAGGAGTGCAGCCTCTCTGCTGGGGACTTGAAGAGGTGGAAAATTTTAGGTTGTTCAGCATGTACTTGGGACCTGGGAGAGATCTCTGGAGCCCAGCAGCTGCAGGCACCCTGTGTACTTCTGAAACTCAGACTTATGGAATTGTTTGGATGGGAAGGGATTTTAAAGGCCATCTCATCCCACCCCTTGCCATAGGCAGGGACACCTTTTGTTATCCCAGGTTGCTGTAAGCCTTGTCCAGCCTGGCCTTCAACACTGCCAGGGATGGGGCAGCCACAGCTTCTAATTTTCTTTCCAGCATTGTTTCACATCTATTTATATATTTAGAGCTTTAAGCTGTAGGTAAATTATTTAAATCAGGGAATGACAGTAAAAGCCTTGCAAATGAATTCACCAAGGGAAACTCTACAAGCAACAAACTATTCTAATCCAACAAAGTTTTCTGAAAAACCACATACCTTGGAAGATTTCTTGTTCTCTGCCTCTTTCCTGCTGACTTTCTGGGATTTTCTAGTTAAATCTTCAATGAGAATAGCACAGCAAAATGTGGAATCAATGTTACAGAATGTTATTTCAATGAGATAATCCTATTTTTGTGTGAGAGAAAACAGGTAACTTCCATTGCAATCACATGGCTGCAAGTTTTGCAGTGATGTTCATCTCAGTTCAGAGTGTTTGAACTCTGTCACTGCTGCTTGTGCAAAGCAGAAGAACAACTGATATTTGTATTTTAGAAGGGATTTTTACACATTGTTTGGTAGATGCAAAGAGTGAATTATTTCAGAGAAATAAAATTAAAGGTCTCTGTAAAAAGATTGAGGTGCACATGCACAGTAGTCACACGAACAAAAATAGGAAAAATCTTTAGGATTCCATAATTTCTTTTGTTAAAAGGTGGTGCTACACGAATAATTTTGGAAGGAATTAACAAGTGTACACTGCTTTCCACATGCAAAAACTTTGCTTATTTGGCATAAGCTCTGCAACTGTGATGCCACCATTCATTCTGCAGTTCTTTATTCCTTCTCCCCCCCATGACCTCATTTTACATAATGTTACTTGCAAAGGTGTTTCATTCCTGTGCCTGTAGCTTTGCTCTCTCTATAGATTTGTCACCACTTCTAATTTTAGATATTTATAACTTTAATTACACATATAATTTATATGTGTAATTTCCATGGGGACTGTTTTGAGCTTAACACAGCAACACTGTTCAAGTGCAAGACACTTCCCAGCTCACCAAGCCATTGTGGTATTTTTGATACCTTTATTCTGGGTGTGAGTTTTGTAATAAGCACTACCTGTATGTAATGGATGATTGAGATAAATACCATCCACATCCCCACTGGAGAATGGTGGCTCCTTACCTATTCCAGGATCCTCTATAAATATATTTTTGGATATTTGCTAATTGCTAGGATTTACAGGGTTGCAGAATGAAGAATAAATATTTTGAGCTGCTTTGGGTGGGTTTCATTTATTTATCTTGTATTATTATAAGTTAGGGTGATGCATCTCTAAGAAGCAGTGGGGAGAATTGTGTCACAGCTCAGCCCATCTACCACATCTAAAGCATGGGCTCATTTCTGTGAGAAGATGGAGAAATCAGTGGAAGGGATTGTATTTCATACCCCTGATTTTAATTGGGTAAAAAAGCCACTGGAATTGTGACAGGGAAGGCATCAAGGATCACAAGGACCACAAAATGATATAGCTTGGGAGGCTGCAGAACAGCACAAGCTTTGCTAAACTCCCAGTTAAACAACATTGTTTAAACTCAATGCTATGGATTAAGAGGTTCAGATTTCTTTGGAAATGCATGTGTGGGGCAACTGTTTCTCCTTAAAGATAAGCTGTCCTGAGCAAAAGCATGTAAAAAATACAGGAAACAGGGTAAAAAACAGACTGCTTAAAACTAAAGCTCTAAAAACCTGAAGAAAGGATCTAAACAAGAAAAGCTTTATTTTTTTTAATTATTAGCATTTTGACACAGTTATGAATGTTCTCTAGTTGATTATCTCCAAACAGCTGTGAGCTTCTTGAGAGAAGAAATTGGTGTAAATAATAATAATGTGAAAATAATGTGTAATAATAATGTGTGAATGACATGGAAAGACTTAGGGCAGACATGAAGAAAGAATTTTGTGAAGAGTTAAGCATCACCCTAAAGAGGCTCTTCCCAAGCAGGACAGGTGGTTATCTGCCAGTAACTGTAGGGATAGAGCTGGTCTGGTCTTGGATAGGTAAATAAATTACCCTTACAGTGCTCTTTTCTTCCCCTGTTTAAAGGCCAGGTAATCTGAGGTTATATTAATACCTGTTAATACTGTTGATTTTTCTGCCACAAGAGCAGACCCTTAAAACCAACCCTCATATTATGTTTTTTCTTATAAGCATAAGATTTTTCAAAGGAAGGTTATATTAGCACAAAACAATTTTACTTCAATATAAAAAGGCTTATAGTGTGATAGGAGGTGAAGTGAAACATGTAAAACTAAAATAAAATGTATCATTTTTTTTTCCTCTAAACTGAGGTTTACTACATTGCCATTCTTGGGTGGTGCAGCCACCACAGATCTGCATCCTATGAAGCCAAGCAAAGTTATCCAAATAATCCAGAATAATCAACAGCAGTGTTTCCTGTTAATCCTGTTAATTTGGCACCAAAGGGCAGGTTTTACTCACCTACTATGGAGATGGGTGGAAGATCTGAGAGGTCCATTTTGCTCCTTCTGGACAGGTTGCATTCTGTCTTCTCCTCAATGACCAAGTGGGAATCAGCAGCTCTGAACAGGCTGTAGCAGAGCAGGAGGCTGAGGAAGAGGTTCTTTCTTGCCATCGTGGGGAGGAAAAATTCCATTGTCACGAAAACCAAAGTTGGTCAAAACCTGTAAAAGTGATGCAGGGATATGAATCTCAGCAATGGTTTCCTGTCACATTGTGCAGCTTTAGCAACAAATCTCTAACAATTATTTTATTTCCAGCACCTTGCCTCTGGTATTGGAATACCTCAGATTGTAGTTGTAAGAGTGGAAAAATGCTCAATGTCTCAAATACAACTCCCTGAGATGGTCTTTTTTCCTGATTCTTTTCTCAAAAGGTTTATTCCCGTAAGATGTGATGGTCCTCCCAACTGAGGAGGTTTATAATGATTAATATATGGCCAAAGGCAGAAACTCAACCACATCATCAAATTTTACCCAGAAAATCTTGTCCACAAAATTGTGCTAGAAAACAGAAAAATAATGACTCTTTAAACTCTCCCCTCCACCCCTCAAAATTGTGTTTCTCGTTAATTTTCTGGTCTTAAAAATAAATCATGAAGTGTTATCTTGTTTTATTACAGTTCCAAGTGGCTGTTCTAATCCCATATAAATCACAGCCATAACTCATGTGAGTTATAAAAGGCCAGTGCCGTAAAGTGTTTATGTGCCTTGGGGTTATGCACTGAGTAACTTCCAAGATATGGCAAAGTCTGGGATTTGGGGATATTCATGGAGCCACCTGAGCTGTGGAGCGTGGCCATTCACCTGAGATGACAGCCCCTGCAGGGTACACAGACTGTGTCACCAGCCTGGACTCCTTTTCTTGTACTTTCTTGTATTTTAAAGCTGATTTTTATTTCAATGTGCATCAGTTTTCTGCAGTGTCATGGTTATGGGAGCCTTGTTCCCCCAGAGGCACTCTCAGTCTCCAGATTTATGGGTGTCTTTGTGTCAGCGAAAAGCTACTGGATGCAGTAAAAAGAGTGAGTGAAACCAAATGTTTTGGGCCATTAATCTGGTTGCAATAACTTCATTACTGGGGAGTTAAATGATGAAGAGTTTCTGCACTGGGAGGGCTTCAATCCGGTCACTGCTGCTACACCAAGTCTATTCCACACCTGCTTTTATAGCCCCACTGACCCATGCTTCCCCGGGAGATGGTCAGTATTATGCTTCTAATTCCAAGTGCTTGGGATCAGGTCTGGAATTGTCTGCTCTGCAGACCATGCTCATGTAGCAAATCAGTGCTGGGGCAATCGAGGCTGCTCCCACTGGTGGCTGTAGCTGTGCCATGAGGACACTCACCTCTGCTCTGGAGCCAGGCTGGGAGCTGGGGGGAGTTCAACCTGGAGAAGACAAGGCTCCAAGGAGACCTGAGAACCCCTTCAGCTGTTACCAAAAAGAAGGAGAGCAACTTTTTATCCAGACAGAGTGTGACAGGGCAAGGCCAAGTGGTTTTAAATTAAAAGAGAGAGATTTAGATTGGAGACAAAAGTTCTTTACTCAGAGGGTGGAGAGGCCCTGGCACAGGGTGCCCAGAGCAGCTGGGGCTGCCCCTGGATCCCTGGAAGTGTCCAAGGCCAGGCTGGACAGGGCTTGGAGCAGCCTGGGATAGTGGAAAGTGTCCCTGTCCATGCTGGAACTGGATGGCCTCTAAGGTCTCTCCCAACCCAAACCAATCTGACAGTCCCTAATTCACTCCTGGATCTGTCTGGGCTCCATTGGGATTTGCAGGGACACACTTGCTGCATCCTTTGTGGTCTATACATCTGCATGAGCTGCAATTGAAAGAGATGTATCTGAGCCTGGAGTTTTACAGGGGAGGATTAACCTCTGAGGAGGCAGTGCTGCTGTGTCTGCACCTGAAATGCTGCACAGCTGGAGTCATTCAAAGCAGAGGTGAAAGTTCAGACCGTGGCTGGATCAGAGGCTGTGGGTAGGAGTCCCCTTTGAATGAGCTGATTCAAATTCTGTCATTTGAGATGTGAAGAGCCTTTGATTTGATCTTGAATCACCTCCAAGAGGAGAGGGTGCCTCTTGTTAAGAAGATTCCAGTAACCAAAAGGAACAAATCCTGCCACAAGGATTTTTTGTTGTCTTGGTAAAGTCATGGGCTTGAATTTTCAGCTACTGCAGTTTAGCAAAGTAACAAGGTGACACTTCTGTGTTAATTCTTTACCTACTCTGATCTTGCAAACAGCAGCTCAGCCCTCGCCCATGGCAATTGCCCATTTATAATGGGAGTATGTGAAAATATTTGCTAGGACAGTATCGTACCCTGATCTTTTTCTTATCTTCAGAAGAGATGCCCTTTTATTGGCTTTTTCTCATCTCCTTTCACAAAAGATGTCCAAACCTCACTGAGATTTCTTAATGCTTACTAAAGGCTGCTCTAACACATACCTACATGCATAAATAACCATTAGGTCTTAACCATTCAGGCTGTAATTGGAACTTCTTTTGATCCAGCTGATTTTACCAACCTGAGTATCCCTGGTGGTCTTCATATCCCAGGCAGATGCTTACAACTCATCCAAGAACTAAATAATGACTTGTGTGCCCAAAAGCTTGTCCATGTTTTCCAAATATACATTGGTCAAATATAAAATATTGCCTACAAATCTTAACCTGCAAAACACGAAAGTTTCCTGATTTTTCAGCTCTAAGCTTAAAGGGAAAAAAGGAATTTTTTTAGGGTGAAGGTGATGAAACACTGGCACAAGTTATGCAGAAAGGTGGTCATGCCCCATCCCAGAAAACATTTAAGGTCAGGCTGGAGGGTCTTTGAGCAACTTGATTTAGATGAAGATGTCCCTGTTCATGGCAGGGGAGTTGGACTAAATTACCTTTAAAGGTCAGTTCCAACCCAATCGATTCCATGATTCCATGATGCAGGGCTTGTTTGTGGCAAGTGGATTTGTGCTCTAATTCTTTCCTTGCCCTGAACTTGAGCGAAGAGAGCAAGCTGTGAGCTGAAGCTGTTTTACTTTGCACGTAGTGCTGTTCATGCTGCAGATTTTGGTTTTTAAAGCAACTTTTTTAGCCTTGTTGCAGGATATGTTCTGTAAAATACCTGTGGTGTTCAGGTCAGCGTGTGCTGCCCACCTGGAATATTGGCTGTCACAAAGCTGCCCCCAAGGTACTGTTTAAACAAGCTCACACCCCAAAATGTTGTTTCTGTTGTATTTCTTTGTCTTTAGCTCAGAAAAATTGACAATGGATGTGATTTTGTCTGAGCAAACAGTAAAATTTTACAGCTGACATCTGTTCACTTCAAACAGCAACACCAATGATGGCTGGGTGGAAATGCAAACCTGGCTTGTTTTGAACCCTGGTGCACATGGGGGTTTTTAGTTACAAGCACTCAGATGGTAGGGATTCTACAGCCCTGGGGTGAGTGTTTGAACCCAGAAATTGCACATGTTTGGGGAATATGCATTTGATTTGCAAAACTCTTATCCATTAGCTGGAAAAGCAATGCTTCCTGGAACAGCAGAGTCTGGGAGGTGTGAGTGGCCGAGTTTATGGAGGGTTGAAAGAGGAGGAAAAGGGAATCAGAAGTGAAGTTAAAAGGTGTTTGTGGCCCCAAACCTGCCAGAGCTCGAGGAGTGTTTGGACAATGCTCCCGGGCACAGGGTGGGATTGTTGGGGTGTCTGTGCAGGGCCAGAAGTTCCTTGTGGGTCCTTCCAACCTCAGTATATTCCATGATTCTATGATTAGTCTTGGGTTTCCTCTTTTGCATCAAATTGCAAAACCCTTCCCTAATTTTATTTCCTGACATTAAAGAGAGGATTACTTTTCCATTTTTCCCATTATTTTCCTTCTGGGACTAATCAAAGGCTGATTAAAGCAATCAAACTATTTTTCTCACCTCTAGCTATCTTGACATCTGTTTCTGTCTGAGTACTTAAATTTGAAAATTTATTTTCCTTTTGAGACCCTAACAACTTAGAATAGCTTTAATAGCAGAATCTTGAGAGGAGGGTTCAGATTTCCCTAATGTTAAAATGTGTGAGGAAAACTTTAACAGAGGATTTTTCAATTTTTGGCTCTGGAGACACAGTCTTGCCCAGCAATGAAATTTAAGCAGTGAACTTTAGTTGCAGTTTAGAAAATTATGTAAGGAAATAGTTAACATGTTGCAGTGGTCTTGATTGTTAAGGGAATGACAGAATTTTATTTAAAACCAAAACAAAACCAGACATTTGAAAGTTTGTTGACTGTCATTAGAGATCACAGTACTCTTTTCTGTGCCATTGTCTCTCTGCTATGGAGTATTATATTCAATATATAAATAAAGCAATATATAAATAAATCTTTTCCTCAATTGTTGTCTTTCACAAGCATTTTTCCTGAATGTAAATTTCGAAAATGACAAATGATGGGAAACAACTTTTTTCTCTTTCTAATAATTTATTTATTTATTTATTTATTTATTTTGTGATGACATATTAAAAGTCTTAATGGAAATTTCATTTGCTTGGAAACACCCTGGTATATTCAACAGTTTTGAGGAGATCTCATTTCTTGTCACAGCTGATTTCACTCTGTTCAGAGATTTATTTGCATCTCCAACAGAGTGAAGAATATGAGACATTCATGCAAAAAGTCTGCCATGAACACTGGAAGGGACAAGTTGAAATTTTCTTAGACAGATTTTCTGACAACTTCAGATTGACGCACCAATCAATCAGTATCTTTATAAAGAGCTGAAAACAGATGCTTGGGAAAATGAGATGTTAGAGTAGGTGAACAAAGACCTATAAAAATACAGAAAACCATCTTACTCAGCACTGAGTAAATCTTCACCTACACTGGGCTCCTGAGCTTCTGCTTTGAAAAGGATCCTGGAATCATTAAGGCTGGGAACGAGCTCCAGGATCACTAGGTCCAACCTTTGAGCAAACACCACCATGCCCACTAAACCATAGGAGAGGACAGAAAAAAAGGGAATGCAAGAAAAAAAAAACAAAACAAGAATTAGTGTCTGCCTTGAAAAGTGTTGAGATTTTCAGAGGGTGAGGGGCTGAAAAATTTGGGAGATGAAACATGGAAGTTAATGGGATGACTGAGGATCTCCTGAGGGAATTCCATGGTCAGCTAGAACTGTCCCATCCATTCTGCAGAGCAATCCCACCTCAACCATCAGCTTTCAGCAAAGGAATAGCAGTAAAAAGGGAAAGGGTGTGTTAAGGAGCACTTGGAGGGAAAGGAATGGATCCTCCTGAGAAAAATGGGAATCACCAGAGCCCCAGGCAGAATTCTGCTGACTCAGCTACAGGGCTTCCTCTGCCTTACAAATTTCCTAACAACAGCTTAGACTGACTGCACAGAATGCACAGAGAAGACAGGCGCTTCTTCAAGGCTGTAAAGATGTGAAAACACATGAGGAAAACCAAAGAAATAGCTGCTACTCCTCCTTAAACCACAAAATAATTGAAATTTAAATTTATGCAAATTGTGCAATTGAAATTGATTGAAATTGTGTCCCCACATAATAACCTGGTGGCTCTGTTTGGATTCTGACCTGAATCTCACTGAATTTCAGTTATTTCGCTCAGTGCTGGGGGACTGGGCTGGTAATCTCAAATGCCCCTTTTTGACACAGGCCTGCTGGGCACCTCTGAGAGAAAAGTGATACACCTTGCAGAGTTTTTGCTGTTTGGGTGGACACCTGAACTCCTCAATCCCCTCCCCATGTTCTCCCATGCCCCCCCTGAAAAGTTCTGCCATCTCAACACAGCACATCTGCCTTTATTTTAAACATTATTAAAATAAGAGGAAAGTTGAGAAAGTCCTTAATGTGGAAATGTGACTGCAGATTGGAAATACACTCAACACATGCTCAATTTCAGCTGGGTTAGGGTGGGATCTGCCCTTTATTTGTTGAAGTGGATCCTTGGAAGCATGAGAAGGGAAAAAACAGGATGTTTCTGTTTCCCCATTGTGTTTTGATTTTAGTTCTTACACCATTTGGAAATTAAATTTTCATGCTCTTCAAATCCAATTGAAAAGACAAATTCTTGAGCACATCCAAAAGAACAAAAATGAAAGGAATTTCTAACTTTCAGATTTCCCTAATGTTAAAATGTGTGAGGATGCCCCAGGCCTGGAAGTGTCCAAGGCTAGGTAGGAGGGGGCTTGGAGCAACGTGGTCTAGTGGGAGGTGTCCCTGTCCATGACAGGATGTGGAACTGGATAATCTCTAAGGCCCCTTCCAATCCAAATCATTCTGTGATTCTATGATTTTATCATTCTACACCAGGAAATATGTTTTTCTTAGCATTTGGATCTATTAATGTTTTACTCAAGTTCCACTCAGCAGTTGTGCCACCATTTATGTTGGTGGAGGAGAACCCAAACAGGTTGTCTTACACAGCCTGCCCTCAGACTGAGATGAAGGCTTCTCTGGGATTGCTGTCAGGTCATTCTCATTCCTTTGGTTCTTTCTTCCAGACTCTATCTGGTCTTTTGTGTATTTTTTTGTCATTCCCAAGTACAGGGGCCTGGCCCAAGAGGCACTGTCTCTTCTCTAATTCCTCTGTACTGACCCCACAATCAGTTCACTAAAGTGAGTTGTGTTTGTGGTACAGAGAGAAGTGCACCAGAGAGAATTCTGTAGTGTTTGATGCAATATGCTGTTTCTGTGCAATTTTACCTTTAACATTTTTTTTAACTTACTGAACTCAATCTACCCTTCTTGCTCCTTTTATTTCAATTTTCTAGTCCTACTTTCTGTTTTCTTTCATTTTCAGACATCCACTGTTCCCTGTTACTTTTGACAGAATTCCTTTTAGAAAATTTTCTCTTGCCTGCTATGTATTTAATTCTTTTTCCTTTGCACACTTTTATTGCTTCCCTACCTTTGTCCTCAGCATCTCCAGCTGGATAATCCTGAGGAATGAAGCAGTGAAACTGGATGAGATGCAGCAGTGCAGAGGTCACATTGAAACACTTTAGCTTTAGAGTAAAAAAAACATTATTTTCTGAAGGTAATGACTTCTGGATTTCAAATGATAGAGGAAGAACTGGCTGTATTGTTCACAGCATGACCAAGAATGAGAATATGATGCAGCTGTGTATAAAAAGGCAATTGAATCCACGGTGTCTAGAGAAGTATCTTGTAACTGAAATACGAAAGTGTTTAATATTGTATGCACATACTGGTCTTCATTTATAGAATCATGTCCAATTGTGGTCACCCATGTGGAGCAAAAATGTGTGTAAGTCAGAACAAGTGCCAGCAAAGAATAGTAACTGCCCGAGATAAAAAGTGATCCAGCAACACCTCCAGTAGTCCTGTGCTTTACCCCCAATTTCCTTATACTCCACTGGCAAAAGTTCCTTTTTTTGCATCAATCCTTCCTATGATTTCCAAATCTTTGGGGCTCCTTGATGCCTACAGAGCAGTTACGAAGGTCAGATAATATAAAAAGATTTGCCACGTGCAGGAATATGCAATGACAGGCATAATTTGGCTTGCATATATTTAAAACCTCTGATTTACAGACACTGTATATATTATTGTGTACATAAATATAAATGCAACCATTTTTAACTCTGTGTGTGTGTATGTGAGGGAGGGGACAGCTCAGCACACTCTTTCAAACATCCTGTGTGTATTTTTCTCTCACAGTTTATTAGGCATATGTCAGGATGTTTAGACCAAAACCACTTGAGCTTGGATAGGCTGGAAATGAAGAAAACAAGTTTCCCTCTGGAGGATCTTCAGCTGAGTTCTCTGTGCCATCATAGCTCAAATTCCAGGTAAAAAAGGTGAGAATCCCACTTTATGGCAGTGAGGAGCCAAGACTCACTGGCTTTCAGAGACAGCTGTGGTAAGACTGAAGAGTCCTCTTAAAAGAAAAACTTGTCCATCACAGCCTCTGCAACTCAGGATAAATGGCTCTGCTTGTTCTCCTTTCTCCTACTGGCTGTTTGGAGCCATCCCTGCTCAAATGCTCTGTTCTTTGTTCAGGATGGACAGGTTCAGAGGAGATGTAAGGGAAACCTTTGCCATGTGCAGGATAGGGAATCACTGCAATTCTTGCCTTGAGATAATTCAGTTTCCAAATTCAGGGAAATTTAGGAATGAATTGGATGTCTCTCAGTCAGTCTGCTCTGACACTTCTCATATTCAAAACTAACACAGATTCAAGAAGAGCCCCCAAAGCAGAGAAAACTGCACCCTCCCAAGAACTATCCAGTGTGATGGCACATATAAAGCACCATCAAGAGTTGGATCCTTGTCTCACTTTCCATACAGATGTCAGATGCCACAACTGAGGATGGAGTGACTCTTAAAACTAGAAACAGATTAATAACATAAATACTCAGATATAATTAATATCTAAGGAAGTAACTCTGATGTGAGCTGCATTCTACCCAGGTGGAGAAGGCCCAGAGAATGAAGAATTCGAAAGCCTCTTTGCAGGGAAGGGGATGAATGATGTGGCTTTTGATGAGAGCTACTGTGCTCATTACAGTGTTTGCAATGGATTTAGAAGTGACTACGGAACCCATAATTTAGATGAACCTTGAGAAAGTAGCCTGAAATCCCCAGAACAGGACTGGGTAAACAAAGTGCTGCTAAATACATAGGAGGGGGAAAGTTGTAATGAACCTGCAGCTTGCAAAAGCAAACAAAACCATTGGGATCACATGGTCTAATTTCTTCCAGGACAGGCTGGAGACCCTGCCTAGATTTCAATATTTCAGGCTTAGTTGAACCAAGTGATAACATCTCTGGTAATTCATTGCTCTAAATTTGTCTTATTTCAATTTCTAGGAACTGAATCCTTCTAAACCGTCTTCTTCATTGTGGAAAATGTGTTTACTTTCTTTTTCCCCTCCTGAGAGGTACCTGAATGAGCAAGTAACTTTCTAATAATCTCCCAGCTCAGGTGAATAGGTTGAGCCTGTAGAATTGCCAAATATAAACTACTTCTCTTCCAGTTCTTTGGTTATCCATAAGGTTCTCCTGTTCAGCTTGCTAATTTTTCATTACAAGCAGAGGTAGTGACCTTGACTGTGCTAAATAATCTCCTTACTCCACTCTAGTCATCTTCAATCAAGTTCTCTACCTTCTACTCCAAAATTTTGCTAGGATTTGAGGCAAGCTGATGCCCACACAACAGCTTAATTATCCACAGGGCTTGAATCCATGTAGCTTAATTATCCACAGGGTCATTAAGTCAGTGAAAATTACCTGTTTATTCCCTGTCTTACTGAAAGTGAGTTTCTCACCCAGCTTCATCAGTTTAACAATTAGCAGATAATCTGAGATGGCTATTTAGCCTTCCTCCAAGGTGCAACTTGGAATTTAAGCTGTTTCTGAAGAGTATAATTTTGTTTCCTGTTTTTCTTTCTAATATTTTGTTTTAATACTATCAACCTCTTATAATATTTTTTCCATTTAAAATGGCACGTGTTCTTGGTCCCAGGGTTGTTTGAAGCTGAGCGACAGGACTCTTCAATTGTTTGAAAATGTACTCATCCCTTCATACTGAGATTTAGGGGATTTTTTTTTTTAACATTCTTTAAGTATTCTTTCCTGTTCCTCATTTTCTGCATGTTTAGATATTTCTACCTCAGCTGGGGGAAGTCTAAGATATTATGCTTTCCAGCTCTATGGAACTGTCTCTTGAAGGGTGAGCATGTAAGAAGAGAAATCAGGGAAGTACCTTTGAATATTGTTTCAAAGAGGAAGCTGTCAAGCTATTGTTGCTCCATTTTTCATTTTCTAGAGAAACACCTATTTTAAATACTTATCCCTTTGCTATCTTGTAAGAGCTTGCCTTGTCTTGTAAGACATTACTTTTTTGACATGTCCTCCTCCTCTCTTCCAATTCATGACTAGGTACAGGCTTTACAGACATGGATATGTGAGATTTCCTGTTGGTATTCCCTTTGAAGCATCTGTTGTTTTGTGGCTTGTTCTGTTTGTACATTCAGAAACAAATCAGCTTTTATGTTACAATCAAAACATCTAAAATGTGAAACTGAGGTTTTTTTAATAGAATATTTGGTCTGTGACTGGTGGAGGCTGATGGTGGATTCATCTCTGAAATCCTTTGAGCAACAACAGTCCTTCTGGCTATGGAGTAATGTGATAACCAAGAACAGTTTATATCTGGTGGTAAAAACAACAGGAATTTTCTGCCTGTTCCTGCTGATCAGTTTTAAGCAACTTCCTTGATAGTCAGAGGACAGAGCTGACAGATGTGCTGAGGCTCATGTGATGCCTATTTGCTGAGGGTGGGAAGCAGAGTGAGGAACAGGAGCTGTGGTGTTGGCAGAGGTTCCCACTGTGCAGCACCTGCCCATGAGATGGGGTGCAGCTCCTGGAAATCAATCCAGGCTGCTTCATCCCAGATTTGTTGGGGCCCTGGGTGTTTCTTCCCTGCTCGAGGTGGTGGGGCTGGCTCTGATAAAGCCCAGCTGGGATCAGGATGCTGGGGCAGAGCTGGGAGGTGCCCTCCAGGCACTCCCTCCTTCCCTTGGATGCTATGGAGAAGGGAGGCATTCCTGCGCAGTGTATGGCAGTCACACCCACTGGGAAACCAAGGGAAATTTGAAGGGGCTATGACTAAAGGGTTAAATTTAAAAGAGGATGCTAAAAATCTTTAATTTGTATTCCATGTATAATGGAGTTTCTAAATATATCCTTTTTTCTGCCTGTGTCCACATCCTCCATGAGAGGGTCTGACTCAAATTACTCTTGGTTTGTAAACACAATTGCTTCTTGAGGGCACCACTTGTGTATTGGTGACACATGTTGGCCTGTCCCAGCTGAGAGTGCTGAGTGGCAGGAAAGGAAAGGGAGATCTTCCTGGCTGCTAATGGGGAGAACAGGAGATTTCTGGACATTCCTTCCTCATCCTGGCAAGGCTGTGTTACCCTGACTGTGGCACAGACATTTAAGAACACTTGGAGCTACTGGATTTGCACGGAGTAGCTGCAAACTTCATCTGTTGTGCCCACGTGTCCCTGCTAGGTATGAGGAAAAGGAAAGTAAGAATAAGGTTTTTTGTGTTGCTCTTGTCTGTGCGTGGAAAATGCTGGGATCAGGGACTCGGATGTTGTGTCCCATGTGGAAGGAAGATATTGGAGCAATCTTGGGTATCTGTGCAAGGTCAGCAAGAGATCTGGACTGTCTCTGCAAAGCGCTGTGAGGCACAGCTTTTCCAGGGAAGGAGCGAAATACATGTGTTGCCCAGAAGTGGGAAGTAAGGATGAAGGCAAATTTCTGGAAGTGGCATATTAATGGACTAACTGCCCACAGGCAAACAAGAAACATCTAAGAACAAACTAACAATGAACAAACATCCAAAAAAAAAAAGTGTGTTGTGCATTTGGGCTGAGAAATGCTGTTTTGGGAAGCAGGAATGCAAAAGGGATTGGGATTGAGGTGGAAATGAGTTTGCAGTGTAACACTGCTGTCAAAAGTGAAAACTGAACTCTCAAATGGGAAAATTGGAGAAACTTCAATAGGAGGGGGGATATTTGAGATTGACATGGCTGTGTCCAGAAGGCACTCCCAGAACACCACTAATTTATTGGAAAACACTTGGATAAACCAAAGAAATTGAAAAGCGTGTCTTAAAAGAGCCTTAAAGCTCAATTCCTGAAATTCCAAAGGGAAAAGGGAGTGTTTTGGAGTGTGCTTGGCAGGATTGGAATGAGAATGGGGAAAAAATGAGTTTTCAAGCAAGATGACAAAGTTCTAATGAGATGAAGCTGCCAAAAGTAGAAGCCAGATCCAAAACATTTCCAGGATTTGGACCATTCTGGTTCAGAAACAACTGTACTATAGAACTTCTGCCTTTGGCTTTTCTGCTACAGAAACTTGATTTTTTTTTTTTTTTTTTCCCTAAGAAATACAGCTTCTAAGAAAAATTGCTGGAAATTTTTTTTTTGCTTGTGTTATGGGCTAACTAATGACTGAATGTTAGTTTTATTTATGATCTTACCAGTCTCCGAAGCTGTGCCAGGTGTGTGGATGTTCATTTCAACTCTAGAATTTTAAGGACCCATACAATCATGGAGACAAAGATGTTGCTTTTACACTTATGGCAAGTATTCCTACTAACTTGACCTACCTCTTTACTTACTTATTTCCAAGTGTTTTTTTTTTTAATTTTTTTTTTATTTTCATTTTAGATTTTTCTTTGTTTTGATTAGGGTTTGTGTTTTTTTGTTTGGGTTGTTTGCTTGTTTATATTTTTTTAATCTTACATTTTGAGATCTCTGAAACCATTTTAGGTCATGGAAAATAAGTTACCTCCAGAGTGTCAGGTATTGTAGCAGCCCATTTGAAAATCTTACGAATATGCTGAAAGAATGAGCTTTGAAATTCAACATATATTCCCATCTCAGTGGGAATCTTAAATAATACATACATAGATATTATTTATATATACATATTATACGTGGTAACATATGTTACATCTGACGATTCACTATGGGCTACTGGATGGTTCCCCACTGGGAATTGGCCACTTTCTGAATTTTTTTTTAAGCAAACACATTTCCACCCACAAAAAACATGGATGTCTGTGTCAGCTGTGCCTTCCCAGAGTGTTCCCCCACAAGAACATCCCTGCTGCCATCAGCAGCTGGATCTGGGACCTGCAGCTGCTCCGAGCACAACTCTCCCTTCCAGGGCTGCTTTCCACTGGCCAGGAAATGTCTCAGCTATGGGAACTTTTGAAAAGTTCATGGCAAAATTAATTTAAAATTTTGCTCTGCAGGCAGATAGGAAGAGGCTGATGTGCGCATACAGACATTTTTAATTGGGATATTTCTACTGTCAGGACAAAACCCATACTTTATATTTTGCTAAACAGTTAAAGTTATCATGTTGAATGGATTCAAAATGCTTAATTCAATACTATTTGTAATGTAATGTCTTTCTCATTATCCCAGGTTGTTTTTCTAATGGCATGAGCATTTCAAAATACAGAGAGAAGCAAATGGAAGAGGTGTAGAGAGTGTTCCCTGTGGAGAGTGCTGCCTTCTGTTTCCTAATCACTCAAATTCTATACACTCACTGCAAATTAAATAAAAGTTTAACCACTTGAGTAAGAGAATTTTGAAGAGAAAATTTGAAGAGAAATTGGAAGAGAAATTATCTGATTTGAAAGAAAAAGAAGACTATTCCACTTGGGATTTTTTTCCATTAAATCTGCCTTTCTACAGGAATGTTATTAATATTTTTAAAATAAAAAATTTAATATTTCTTCTATGCAAATATCCTCCATGAGCATGCACAATTAATTAACAATGTGTTAATTATTTATTCAAGGGTTTTAGTAGGTGTTCAGTCTGCAAAATACTGGGGACTGATTCATGTGTATCGGCATCTGTGTGTAACATATTGTAGGGAATGCTAGAGGAAAAAAATATATATTTAAGCTGGCACAATCCTTCAGTTTTCACTGAACTGGGAGTTTTACATGTACAAGAAAAAGGGAAGATAATTAGGGTAAATACTCTGTTATTTGTGTATTTTTGCATTTGGACTGGAATGCTGTGAAAGCTTTCTGAGCCTGCTTCAGTGGGGAAAAAAATAATTAATCTGTGAAGTGGGAAATTCACTGGGAAGTGAAACTCTGATATTTGGAAAGCAAACATGGGATGTTCTCGAGGAAAAAACCCCAAACCAGAACGAAAAACCAAATCCAACTAAAAGAACAACAAAAAAGTCTCCAAACCACCACTAAAACCAAACAACAATAATCCCCCTCAAGCCCTAGTAAGCACCAAAAGACCTTTCTAAAAGAGATTGATTAAACTGTCTAAAATGAGAGACTTCAGACTATCCAAGTAAAATGCCTGGAATTTTTAAGGAGCAGGCAAGGGACAGTGCAGTGATACCGCTGCAGGGCTTTCCCTGGCTTGGTCAGAGCCTTTCTCACATTAAGAAGATGCCCAGAAACTCCAAAATTTCCAGGCACAGCACCAAAGGCACTTTAGAACGCAGTGAGCTCTCCTTTGCCTTCATGATGCGGCTGAAAGGCAGTAGAAGAGAGCTGTAAAGTATAGATGGAGAAATAAAGCGGGGAAAAGTAGACAAAAATCTGGACAACAGAAAGAATTTCATAATTTTTGGAGAATAACAACCACAATACAATCACCAATAAAATTTTTCATTTTCCGGTGATTGCAGGGACTATAAATTTGATGGAATTGCATAACAATTGATGTTAAAAGAAAAGTTCTGGTGCTGCAAACAGCAATCAGAAATGGTCTCTGCATTTTCATATCTTGTTAACTGTGTAAAGCAACTATGGGTTGCTGAACTCACACAAAATTAAAGAACATTAAGAATACTAATGGAAGACTGGAAAATGGGATATGTGTAGTATAGGATTACTTTTTGTGAGGTGCTACAGAGAAAGCTGACAGGGCAGGTCAGAAAAATCGTTACGGTCTGCCAGTTAAAGAAAAATAGTATCAGTCCTAAAATAGATAAAATCCAATCATTCATCTTACTGGAGTTATGAAAGCTTCAGGAAAATAAAGATTTATTTTAACAAGATATCATAATTTTATTAGATAAAGGCTAAAGACAGGAATAAAGTAACATAGCTAATTGATTGGAACACTGTAAAAATACAGCTCGGGAAATGTAGGTTGTTAATTTTAAAATAATGTAATAAAAGAGTGAAGAGGGATAATATCTAAAATAATTTTAGGAAAAAAGCTTAGAAGTAGACCAAATGAAAAAGCAAAATTTGCAACAAAAAATAATTGAAGAGGTAGAAACACCAAACAGAATCAAAACAACCTAAATCGCACACAGTGCTTGGAAAACAAGGTTTTGGAGCGGAACAGAAAAGCGGAACAAATAAATGCAGAAGAGCAAAATGGTAAAATAACAAAGTTAAGAGAGTTTTAAAAAACTTTCCTGCTTGCCAGAGCCGTGAGGGAGATCTGCAGGACTGACCTGAGGGAAAGGAAGGCGAATCTCTCCGGCGCAGTGGGGCAGGCGAAGCGGGTGGGCTCGCTGAGGGCAGCAGGGCCCGGGGAGGATGCCCGGGAAGGCCTGAGGGGGCTCGCTGCTGGCGGAGCGGGAAGGTCGCTGCTCATCGGGCCTGAGGCCCAGCAGGCGCTGCTCTCCCTCGCCCCTCAGGCCAGCGCCGCCGCCGCAGCTCCGCGTCCCGAGCGCAGAGCAGGAGCACTGGTGGTCACCCTATCCTGCTTCAATTTCTGCTTTTTCTTAGTCCCCTTCGCAGCCACCCACCC